TTCTGTGGTCCATCATGGAATACTATTTCGTGTTTCCCACTTCATAGTACTGTATCCCATTTAACTTTTTTTCAATCTTTAATTTCATGTGTTCTCTGCTAATCTGTTCTAACACTGACACTGATAGTGTTCCTTAACACCTTTTGAAAATCAGTTCTCTGTTTTCTCCAGTTCCACAACTATCCAGCACATAATTAAGATTGATGTTTACACTGATCAATGTATCAATCCTCCCAACTCACAGATGATCACAATTGTCACAAGTCCTCAGCTGCTAAAGAACACACTTGCAGAAGGTTTCAGACAAAAAGACCATCTACTAGTATTCTAGACCCCAGTACATGTGGATACTCTCCTGATCCTCTTCCTATTCCCAATCCTTGTTTACCTGCTGAATTCCTACTGATGATTCAAGGTTTTACTCATATACCACTTCCTTTAAGAACATTCTTGGGTCTTATTAGCCCTCTTTCCTGCCTGAGTATGGTCAGTGTCTCTGCCCTGGGTTTCATCTCCCCACTGTGCCCCTCTCTTTTCCTTCCTGCATTTGTGGAAAAGTAACTCTAAGCTATATAGATGCAACAAATACATGTTGCCTACTGAGAAAGAGACCCATTTCTCTAATTTGGTCAATGGATTAATGAATGATGACATCTGAGATGGGAGAATATGACAATTGTCATCATTGGTACATGATGTAGTGCATCATTTCTCCCTTTCTCTGGGCTTACCTCTGGACAGGGAGCTGGCACTCCTCAGACACTAATGTGTATCATTTACCCACAGCAATGCTTATCTTCTCAACATTGCCAAGTGGACATCATCCCCACTTTATGATGAAGCTCAAAATCAATTAGCATAAGTAATTGGCATACCAGTCACCAAGATGGAAGGCTTTCTTTTCAAACTATGGTCTGTGATATATAGTCATCTTTGCTTGGGGAAATTTGTTGGTATTTGTGAAAATCATTTTGTAATCCAAAACTAGACAAACAAAAACACAAACCCATATTAAGTTTGGATTCTGGAGTAGTGAGAGTAGAGCCAACTAGGATTGATAGAGGTTCCAACACAGTTCCATTTTCCAGGGCAAATCATGCCTATAGTCTTAATCTTATCAGATAGATTGCAGATGACCTCAAAGAGGCTGAATACTAAATAAGAGCATATGTGTTTGCCAAAGTTCTTTGTTAAGGAAGAAGACTAGTGACCAATTTGGAGTGCCATACTAGGTAGTTTGGGTCAGTATTCTCGAACAGCAGAGGAGAACCCTTAGCAGTTAACAGGAGATAGGGGAAGCCAGGCTAATAATTCACATTTAACAGGCCCCAAATGATTATTTGAAGCAGTTAGTTTAGATTTGAATTCCTGGAGTCTAAATAGGAGATGATAAGCAAGAAATAATTTGGGGTTTCTTGTTTTTTTCTTTTATTTAGGTCTGAGATTAGCACTAGGTACCTGCTGCTTTTGCTCATTGGCTAGCATTCTATCAACCATAATTCTGGATTTCTAACAAGCTGACCAGAGAAGTTTCTTGCTGATTTACAGACCACTCTGAAGGGCTTAGAAGATCCACCTCTACAGGAACAGAGACTTAGCTTTGTTCTGGAACATAGATTGCCTATCTTTATAGATTGTGATTGTACAACTTGAGAGTACTTTTTTTTTTCAAAGGACATGCTCTTAGTTCTAATGCAAAGCCATCTCAAATGTTCAAAACCATTGAATATAATCCCAATAACAAGTAAAGCAATATCAACCCTTTCAGATACAGAGAACACATAGGATTCACATGAGCAAGAATAATCCATTGCTAATTCTTGAGTCCTATTCACCATGAAAATAACATGTAGATGTATATATGTGATTTCTAAACTCTACCCTAACCCCATAAGTTGGATAGTCCAATTCTAAAAATAAGGCAATAGCAACTTCGAGAGCTCTTAAGTTATCTGCTAAAAGGTCACACAGCTAGCTGCTACCCATTGTAGCTGGGATTCTGTGTTTGCCATTTTTCATCACCGTGACTAAAGAACTAACAAAATTATCTCAAAGGAGGAAGGATGCATATGGTTCACGGTTTCACAGGTTTTGTCCTATGGATGGATGCGTCCATCTGCATGTGATGAGGCAGAACATGATCGCAGGAGAGCATGGCGGAACACAGCTACTTATCTCGTGGCAGCCAGGAAGCTGGACTACCGGAAGGAGAAGGGCAGGCACAAGATATACCACCCTTCAAAGACATACTCTGCAGTGACCTGCTTCTTCCATGCAGGCCCCACCTCCCAATATCATCATCAAATTAAAAATCACTCAATGGATTCAATTTATTTTGTTAGAGCCTCCAGGATTCAATCATTTACCCAAGACTTTATCTTCTAGACACTGTACTAGAGATCAAGCTATGAACACATGAACCTTTCAGAAGACACTTGATATGTAAACAACAGGTTCTGATCCAAGTTAGGATCAAGTTAGGATCCAAAAGCTGTGTGTTCTGGATACCTTTCCCAAAGTGCTAGGTATGACTCCAATATGAAACACAACTGATTGGGAATCAAGAAAAATGTGAGAAAAGAAAATGCCTGTGGCTATTAGGCTTTACTGCAGCAGCTTCCGGGTGGGTGTGGAGGAGGTGGAAGTAAGACTCTGGTAATCTACTTTATTAACACAAGTGGACTGCATCTTGACCACAGATTCCCCAAATCTGATAATGCAGATGGAAAGGACACTCAGTGGCCAGTGGGCTGACCACAATGCTGTTACTTACTCTTAGGTTTGTTTCTAGATGTCAGCTGCAACCAGTAAAGAGGAAATATCTTTCCAGACCCTGGTGGCCTATAAACTTCCCCACCCTTTCCTAATAAACCCTAGTTTACCCTAGTAAGTCTTGTCACAGTTGCCCTGCCTTATCTCCCTGTGGTAAAATTGCTTAGTCGTGAGGGGGTGGTGGATGAAGTGGGTAGGGGGGAAGGAATGTAGCTTAGTCAAATACTTTGAAACAGCAGCAATGTTGAAGTTTTCTACTGAGTAATAAAATTTGCTTGTTTCCTGAGGAGAGATATGCACAACAATAAAGATTCTTAGAGAAAGCAGTCAGGGAGATTTCTATTTAAGTATACCAAATGGAGCAAGGGAACCGCTTTACAAAATAAACCACCAGGCAATTTATCAGCCAATGTGGTTGGCATTCAGTGATCCTTGAATGGAGAACCCAAGGTCAGTTTTTCTAATCTCAGGTTTCTCCACTATTATTAACAGCAATATGTAGTTTAACTGGTGTTTCCTATCTAGACAAACACACTACCACTTGAGCCATGCCCCCAGCCCTTTCTTTCCCACACTGGTCCTGGAACTCCAGCTCCTCCTCCCTCAGCCTCTCAAGCAGCTAGGATTACAGGCATGCCTGATGCCAGCACCATGATGTATCTGGTTCTAAGCTTTCACCTTTAATAACAGTGCAAGTATTTAACTATGTCACAGAAAAGATCAAATAAGCAAGTAACATCTCTTACAATTAAAAAATATATTTGTCTAAAACAAAACAGTGGTATTTGAGCCGTTAAAGATTCCAGACCGGTTTTGTTCCTTAATGGTGTTCTCTACAAAGAATGTTTCAAAAATAAAGACTGAAACCCAAAAAGAAAAATTTTGGCTTGAAAACTCGCTTTAAAAACTATTTTAAAATGTGTGTGTGTGTGTGTGTGTGTGTGTGTGTGTGTGTGTTCAACAGAAACTGAGTCTGGAACAAGGATAAAAGTAATAAACATTTGCTACTTCACTCCTCAACAATTCACATCACAGATCTCAACCAGCAAGCCACAGAAATAAGTTTGAGGGATTTTTTTTTTCTGGAGGGACTTTACTGAAATATGGGGGCACGAACCAATCTTCAATGAGTCATAACTTACAGGACCTTAATGCTTTACATGTCTTTCTTCCTCCACTCAACAGCATTTTCAAACAAGCATTTCCCTGGCCCTGCAGATTTCTCTAATTCCCAGATTTCGGTGACTTAAGGCTACCACTCAGGATAATGGACAAAACACTTTCTTGTGCTGGTACATTTTTAATGCTACAGAAAAGCAGTGAGTATGTTGTTTTCTCAACTATCATTCTCCCCAACCAAGCAGTTAATTCCATATGCCAACATATGGGCGCAGTGCTTTAAAGACCCTGAAGAGCAATTGGGAGGCTTTGAGGTACTTTAAATGAAAAGATAGTGGGAAAGGTTAGGCCGAGAGCCGCTAGGGGAAAGGCTGGCATAATAACAGGATATGCTCACTTCTAGAGGAAACAGGAGCTGCAAGAGCCGCGGGGCAGGAAAGGCGGAGTCAGCAGCAAGCGCCCAAAGGAAACGCGCGCGCGACGGTTTTCAGGAACCTGGCCTGCTCAGGCACTCTGGTTCCCGTCTGGTCAGATTGGCGAGCATCTAACCCGCAGGGTGCCGAGCTCAGACCTCGGGGCTCCAGGGATTAGTCATTAAAAAGAAAGGAAATCAAAAAGTACCCATCTGCTCTCGGCCGCCCCGGCCAAAATCCTCGCAATGCGATTTAAGCGAAAAGGCAAAACACCGGGCGCCGCGGCAGGTGAACTCGGCAACAAGTGATCCCAGAAGGGACTTGGGGGGGTCCTCGGGCCGCCGCGTCCGGGAGGGTGGGGTGGGTGTGGATGCAGGTGCTCGCAGCGCGCGCCGGAGCCCCGGGCGCGTCCCTCCCGCTCTCCCCGGGCTGACGCACGCTCTCATGGCGCGCGCATCCTCCAGACCTTCCCAGGCCTGAGGGAGGAGGCGGGGGAGGGGAAGGGGCTGCTGCGCCTTCCCCACCGGGATCAGGTGCCCCAGAAGGCGGCCTGCCTGTCACCCCCGCCCGCAGGGGGCAGGGGAGGGTAACCTGGGGGCCCGCCCTCGCCCCCCCATGGCCCGATTGCCAGATGTGTCCCGCTACAGCACACAGCCCGCCCGGCGCGCCCTCGCCCCGGCCCCGGAGGGCAGGTACCTCGGAGCCCCGGCCCCCACAGGAGCCTCCGGGCCGCGGTCGGAGCGTCTCTCCAGGTCCCTCGCCCGACGTCAGCGTCAGCAGAAGGTGAGGGAAGGGGCGTGGGGAGCGCAGGAGCAGGCCCTTCCTGCAGCGGCCGCTGCCAGCCGGAATCGCAGCCCGCAGAGCCCGTGCGCGCCGCAGCGCAGCGCAGCGCAGCGGCCGGGGCGGAGCGGGCACCTTCGCTTTTCCGCCTGTGCCCGCGGCCTGGGAGCCGCCACCACCTCGTCTCCCCCCCAGTACATGCCTCTTCTAGGGACGGCGGTGGGGTGACCCCTCCTAGTAGGACCCCAGAGCAGAAGGCAAACAGAGTGCCATACTCTCACCTTGTTTGGAGCAGATCAGGGATGGGGGGCGGGGGGTAGTTCTCGCTCTCTCTCAACTCCCTGGGGTCTTTCCTTGACCCCCCATCTCCTGGGGTATCCCTGGCCCGACCCAGCAGCCTAGGATGGCTCCGCCCCTGCTTTCCCGCAGGTGTTCCACGTGTCCATGACATTGGCGTCACAATGATCTGGCTACAGGTGGAAGCTGAAGCAAAAGCCCCAGAATTCCCTATGGGTAGGGTGTAGTGCGTGCTACTTCCTACCACCTTAGAATGGGCTGTTTTTAGGGGCAGGAGATTTCATGATTTCCATGCCAGTGAAAGTCCGAGAGGCCTGTTCTTGGAAACCAAGTCTGGGATTAAATGAAAAAAAGTCTGTTTAACAAACAAAATCAAGCAACAACAATAACAGCCCAGCGGTGTTTGTACATTTACCCATGTTTATCACACCCATATGTTTTGTCTTTTTTCACGCCTGTTTTGGGTGCAACAATTTCAACGTCTTTGTCACCGGGAAAGGATGAGGCCTTTGTGTATGGAATACTTTGCAGACCACAAGAAGAAAAAGCATCAACATCAACTGTGCTGAAATGAATCCCAATGCTCATCGCTGGTTATGTATTTACAAACGAAGTTCATTGATAGTTAGTGGTTGAAAGAATTTAGCAAAGGTGGGATGAAACATAATTATTAAGGACGCAAAATGAGCTGAAAGCTAGGGCGAACAAGAGCTGGACATTTTTCTATGTACCAGGCATATGTTTTGAGTGCTTTACATTTCATCCTCACAACATGCCAATATTGTAGGTAGAATTATTTTCCCTATTTTACAGATGAAGATACTACCAAGAGTGCCATAAAGAGATTACTGCGTGTGCCTGCTATAAGGGTCAGTTGTAGAGTACATGCCTCGAATGTTTAAGGCCCTGGGTTTGATTCTCTGGCACTGTAAAAACAATAAACAAAACAATATCAACAACAAAAACCATCATTATAGTACTGATTGGGACTTGTAAGAACCACTTAAGAAAGAATGGTGTTTGAAAGAGTGTTAAGTTTTATCACAATTAAATGCTATTTCCTATGTTAGAGATAATAAATGGCTGGCTGTATCTGTCAGTTAACTGAAGCATCCAGAAAATACTAGATATCCTGAAAAAAAAAATCCAGACTATAATGTTCTTTTTCCTTTCAGGTGTGGTTTGCTAGTTGCTTGAAAACTTAGGTTTTCAAGGGTTGGTTTTGAGGTAAATATTTAGGTTTGTTACAAGAGAGTCAGTAGAATGGCAAGTCAGTAGTGTGTACAAGAAACCTCTCAAAATGCAGATAATTTGAACACAAGCATTAGAGAGAAATGATGAAAAAAAAAAGTCTGATTAATACCTAACTATTCAGTTGTCCTTTACCCTTCTAATAGTGAAGATAACAACTCGGCAGTGAGTCCAGCGGTCTATCATAGAGGTTAAAAGACAATGTGGAAAGGGGATAAAAATTGCCAGACGTGTACTAAATGTCAATTGGACATCAAATTTCTTAGTAAATGTCTGCTTATCTTACACTGTCTCTGTGTATACATTTCCTTCCCATTTAAAAAGATGCCTCAGCCAAGTACTGGTTGCTTATACCTGTAATCCTAGCTACGCATGAGTCTGAGATCTGAGGATTGGGGTTTGAAAAGTCTGTGAAAGTCTCATGTCCAATTAACCTGCAAAAAGTGAGGAGTGGAGCTGTGGCTCAAGTGGTAGAGTGCCAGCATTGAGTGAAAAAGCCAAGCAAGAATAAAAGACCCTGAGTTCAAGTCCCAGTACCAGCACATACACACAAAATAAAAATAAAGTTGCACTATCTCTAGCACTTCCATTCTTTTGAAGATTTCAAGTTGTTTTCAGCTTGCAGAGCATGCACAAGGTGCTAGTGAGAATTTGAACCAATTTCTAAAGAGAATGGTTATTGAATGATGGGATTTGAAATTAGGGAATAAGTACAATTTTCAGAGTGCAACAGAAGGACAAAGAGAACCTCCTTACAGATTTAAAATATGCTTCTGAGATGGCATGCATTAAGAATGCTGCTAGTTACCATTAACAGATAGCAGTGAATTAGGTGAAAACGTTTTATTTTCTGTCACCTGAAAGAAATAGAAAGTTAGGCAATGTAAGGCTGGAGTCATGTTTTTTATGTCACCTCCTTCTCTCCTTCTACATCTTCAGCAGAATATGTTTAAAGGTAAATGAAGATGGAAATGTGGAGAAATAAAAACCTTCGTATACACTGCTGGAGGCAATGGACATGGTGCAGCCAATTCAGAAATAAGTTTGGCAGTTCCTTAAACCATTATATATAACTGCCATGTGACTCAGCAGTTCCATATGAATATCTATAACAAAATATTCGAAATAGCTGAATTTTGCAAAAGTGCATCAATGGACAAATGAAGTATATTCACATTATGGATCATTGTTTGGCCTCAAAAGAAAAAAAAAGTATTGATACATACTACAACTTAGACAAACCTTGAAAATATTATGTTGCATGGAACAAGCCAGTTATCAAAAGCTCTATATCATAATACTCCCTTTATCTGGAGTCCAGAGAAGAAAATATTATACAGATAAAAAGTATATTATGATCCTTGAGGGTTAGAGAGATATGGGAAATACATAGTGTGCTGAAGGGAGTGGTTTGTTTTTGCATGATGGATATATTCTAAAATTGATAGTAATAATACTTTCACGTACCTGAGCATATTTTGAAAAGTACTGAATCATGCATTTTATGATTTATTGTGAATCATAAGTTATATTAAATACATCTCATAGCTGTATAAAAAGAAGCAAAAATAGTGTTCATTTCTTTAACACATACTGTACATCAATACTTGTAACAGGAACAGTTCCAGGGAACAACAACATTAAGACCAAGCATGTAAATTTATCTCAGATTTCTTAATGCTATCCAAACCAATTCTGTTGGCCCTAAGAAACTAAATACGAGGAAACAGGACAGAAAGCCAGTTTGTGGGAGAGAGAACATTCTCAGGCCCATTCATTGGATATCTCTTGATGGTAGGATAGGAAGTTAATGCTGCACACATATTTTGCAGATATGTTCTAATCTTACACCATCTCAGCATTATTTTAATGGAAGAATAAGCAAACAGTCCCTGTAGATAAGAACATAGATAATAAGTTTATGGAACTGGATTTAACATAAGGACAGTAAATTGACATTTTGCTGTGGGAAGCAAATACTAATGGAGGACATCATCAGAAGTAAAATGAAAGCTATTTTCACCCTCATTCCTAACCTTCAATAAAATCCAAAAAGTTAGGATTCTGGCAGCACACTTCAAATTTCCAACTTAATTCTTAAAAAGAACACAGATTTATGAAACATTTTTAAATTAATAATTACTTTGAGTGAGCAATTTACTTGAAGAAAACTAGTTTTTATAAAGTAAATTAGGTTTTCAGGATACTTACAGATACCTTTAGGTATTTCTAAAGCCCTTTAATGTTTACTAAATTACTACGTTTTTCTGGCCATTAGGTCATCTAGAGGGAAGTAGATTAATAATATACTTTAACTCTTGTGGCTGGAACATTGTCATATTCTTAATACACAAGAATGTGGATTTATTTGGTTCAAGTGAGAATTCATAGTCCATCTCTGATTAGAAAATCAATGGTCATATATATGTATATACATATATACATGTATATAAATGTACTTATTAACATATAATATATAATCAACTTTAATGAATTATTGATATATATCTTTAATATTTTAAATGCTCCTTATGTTCTCAACCAACATGAGCAAATGAGGCAGAATGTCCTTCTTTCTCTTGGCAAATGGGCACATAAGACAAATGAATGTTCTAGCATTCATCCAGACAGATATTTATAGTCTCCTATAACTGTGAAGTCCTTTTATTTCCTGACTCATCTTTGGCAACATTGTATGCACTCATTGTGCCTGGCGCATAGCAGGGGATGTTAAGATAGAGTTTAAGCCATGGTTATTATTAATGTGTTTAATAACAGTCATTCATACGGATCTCTGCTAATATCAAATAATAAGAAACAAATTACATTTCCATCACAGTTTCTGGGAGATTAAAAATAGATAATCTATAAGAATGAGCTTTGGGAAGTGGTGTTATGGCTCAGATGGTAGCGCATTCACCTTGAGCTGAAGAGTTCAGGGACAGCACCCAGGCACAGAGTTCAAACCCCACGACTGACCAAAAAAAAAAAAATACATATAAGAAAGAGCTTTGGAAAACATGTTGTTTTAAAATTAGGGTTGAAATTATTATCTGGCTTTTGTTAGTGTTAGAGATTTAAGAAAAGATTAAATATATTGTATTACACAAATTGGATATGTATTCCTGAATTGTGCAATATTTTAAGAAGAATTGGATATACTCAGGAACATGGATTAACTATCATGACCAATTTAGGTTTAATTTCTGTAATATTTATGTTCTCCATGTAGCAAAACAAAGCTTTCATTGTACCCTCTGTTGAGCTGCTGATATCTTTAAACACATTGGTTTGTGCATATGAAAATAGAGCAAATGTTTAATTAGTAGCATCACTTCAGTTAATTAAAATTAACTTCATTTCTCTTTAAAATTAAGGCTATCGCGGAAAGAAGAGTTTTATTTACCCTCAGGAAAAGGTAATTATGTTCATTGTCACATCATTTTAGAGTTCTCCATGAAATAATGCAGTTCTCTACCCCTCTATGTCCAGTGTCAGCCAATGAAATTTCCTTTCCTTTCCCTTCCCCTCCCCTCCCCTCCCTGCCTTTTCTTGTG